CGCGGTATGTTTCTGTGCACCTCCTGCATACCAAGGCGGAGGCACCTGATGTCATCATGGCGTGGGTGCGCCAGGCTCAAGTCACGTTCGGCACTCCTCTGAAGTGCCTCCATTCTGATGGCGGGGGAGAATTTCGCAATGGCAAACTCGATAACTTCTGTGCGGCCCAAGGGATTCGGCAAACCTTCACGCTTCCCGAAAGCCCGCAGCAGAATGGCATTGCAGAGAGCCGCAACCACACCTTGGTTCAGATTGCTCGCTGCCTCCTCAGTCACGCCAACGCACCACGGTCACTCTGGGGATATGCCCTCTTCCATGCGGCACTCCTCTACAATCTTTATCCGCATCCCCACCGGCCGACACCACACCTACCGCTCTCTGGCTTGGGGTCACGCCTTCCGCCCGCTCTCTACGCGTCTGGGGGTGTACCGCGTATGTGTTGCTAAGGCCCCACACGCGCAGGAAGCAAGGTGGCAAGCTTGGTCCCAAAACCCAGACCTGCATGTACCTGGGGCACAACTCCGACTCCCCAGACTACTTATTCCTCAACCCAATCACCAGACAGCTGATTCGCAGCCGTGATGTCGTCTTCGATGAGACACGCCCATTCCACTCTGCGACCACGGGCGAGCCTCCTCCACCTCCCCCGACGCTTGTTTGGGCAGACTTCGATGCCCCACCTCCGGCCGCTGCCCCTTCTCCGGGGCCTTCTCCGTCCGGCGTGTCTCACCCGGCCTCCCCAGTATCCTCCGCAGCGGCACCTCCTCCTGCTCCGCCTTCCCCGCGCGTCGAGCCCGGCTCACCAGTCTCCTATCGGAGGCGCCCAGTCCCTCCGGTCCCACCGCAGCCGCCTTCATCTCCGGTCTCTAGTCGCACTCGTTCCAAGGGACCGGCTCCGCCACTCGCCTGGGGACCAGCCGCCTTCTCCATCCGGTGTTCGGTCACCCCGCCTCCTCCTGCCGGGGGTTATGTCCCCTCCATCCGTATTCCCCCCCGTGCACTTCTGGAGGATAGGCATGAGGAGCTGTTTGACCTTCACGCGGTCTGCCAATTTCTCTCTCACATCTTCCCGGACATTACTGACTGCCCTTCCCTCAACTTCACCGAGAACCCGACCATTCTGACTCCTCGCACAAAAGAGGAAGCTCTCTCGGGGCCTTATAAGAAGGAGTGGAAGGCAGCAATGGATGTGGAGAACGAGGCGTTCATTCGCAACAACAGCTTTGACGATGTTGTTCCCCCTTCCGGTGTCAACATCGTCGGCGGAAAATGGATCTTCCGAGTCAAACAACTCCCAGGCGAAGCTCCACTGTTCAAGGCACGATACGTGGCAAAGGGTTTCACCCAGAAGGAGTATCTCGACTTCTTCGAAACATTCTCGCCCACGGCCAAGCTCCCGACTGTGCGCGCTCTTCTTGATATAGCCGCTCGCGACAACTTCGAGATCAAGTCCATGGACGCCTCCTCCGCCTTTCTCCAAGGCCAGCTCAAGGAGGATGTTCACATGGAACGCCCACCGGGGTTTCCTGGCACTTACCCTGCCAACACAGTGTGGAAGCTGAAGCGCCCAGTGTATGGCCTCAAGCAGGCTCCTCGTGAGTGGCACAACAAGGTGAAGGAAGTCCTCCTCGCACTTGACTTCCATCCCTCTGCCTCAGATTCCAGTCTCTTCGTTCGTCACTCCTCCGAGCCCTTCTACATCCTCGTCTACGTCGACGACTTCATTCTAGCCGCCAGAGATCCAGCCGACATGGCAGCTGTCCAGTCTGCTCTCAGCTCCGCCCTTCTCATGAAGCATCTTGGTGACCTCAAGAACTACCTGGGGATGGAGATCACTCGTCACCGCCAGGCTTGCACGATCACCCTCTCCCAGGAGTCCTACATCGACAACCTTCTCAAGCGGTTCAACATGGACTCCAGTAACTCTGTCTCCACTCCACTCCCACTACAGCATCAGCTCACGGCCCCTCCAGTTCCTTCTCCTGACGCCTGCAAGGACCCGTACCCTGAGCTAGTCGGTTCACTCATGTATGCCATGATGTGCACTCGACCAGACTTGGCTTACCCGGTTAGTGTCCTCTCTCGGTACGTCTCCCCCGGACGCTACACTGCCTCGCATTGGTCTGCAGCCAAGAGGGTCCTCCGCTATCTACAAGCCACCAAGTCTCACATCCTCACTCTTGGTGGTACCTCTCCAGTCAAGCTCGAGAGATACACAGACTCCTCATGGGCCGATGACCAGACTGACAGACGCTCCTCCCAAGGGTACTGCTTCACCCTTGGTAGCGGAGTCATCAGCTGGCGCTCCACTCGGTCCTCTGCAGTCTCCCTGTCGTCCTGCGAGGCCGAGCTCTACGCGGGCACAATGGCTGCTCAAGAGGCACGCTGGCTCTCCTTTCTCCTCGCTGAGTTAGGCTACCCCCAGCAGTCGCCCACCCTGTGGTGTGACAACCAGAGTGCCATTCATCTCACCAAGGATCCTGTGTTCCACTCTCGCACCAAGCACATCGAACTTCGTCATTTCTTCATTCGAGATCTTGTTCAGAGTGACCAGCTGACGGTACGGTACATCGCCTCAGATTGCAACCTCGCCGACCTTTTTACCAAGGCTCTCGGCAAGGCTGACCACCATCGCCTTCTCCGTTCCATAGGGCTATGTGCTCCTTGACCGGGTTTGCAGTCTATGGGGGTGTCTTAGAAATAGACTGCAAATACCACTTTTGTATTTGTACTTTTATATCCTAGTTTAGGTTGTGAATGTTCTAGTGGGTTGAGGTGTACTCACAAATCCCAACCTCACCCAATTGTGATCCCCACAATCTCCAATTACCCAATTGGAGATTCCGGAGATCCCAATGGGGATTCCCTCTAATTCCCCCTTCATCCATTCTCTCTCACCTTGCCATGTACTTATAGAGCCTTGGGCTCCTTACCTAATCAATCATTTCAACTCTATTTCTTACACCACCACATTTGGACCATCTTCCAACTTGTTCAGTCACATTTGGACAGATCATCCCTCTCTTGAGATTGGTCCTCCCCCCCCCCCCGCCTCTTCCTTTTGAACCTTCCCTTCCTGAATCATCTCTCTTCCTATGAAATGTATTTTCTTCATCAATAAAACAACATTCCAGTTTTTAACATGGTATAGAGCAATAATGGCTTGCGCCAAACTATAATCACGATCCTTCCCCACCCTTCCGCCCTATCCCCTTCCAACGTGCACCTCGTTGCCGTCCCCTCCATCGCCACCACTAGTCTTCTAGCAGCCGCCTCTCATTCTCTCCACCGCGAGTTCTCGATTGGGTGTATTTATAAAGCACCCGTAGTGCGCCAAATGCCGTAGCTCAATCAATAGTTGACGGGATTAAGCGATACGAATTGCATTGGAAAGGTGGCACTATTTGTTAGAATAACTAGCCAGAAGATTGGCTACACAAGTCGTTCTTAACTCTAGCTACTCCTTCTCGGGGTCACCTCCAAGGGTCCTTGGGTGCCAAGTACAAGTACCAGCCCCTATCCAAGGGTCCGAGTATGTAGAATGGAGCAGTTAAGCAAGACACGGTCTTGGTAACTAATCGTTTGTGCAGCGTTTGAGCACTCTTCCAACAGAGGTCCAATGGCGAGATGGTGCAGGACATGGGTTGCAAGAGCACTTGAGTATATTCCACTCAATCAAGATTCATCATACAAAAGAAACACACAAGCATAAATGGTCTAACCCATGCCAGCTGCCCACCTCGAGCTAGCTGCACCACATTACACTATGTCTGCTATTCCAGCACGAGAACATTGATTATGTTCAGTTACTATTAGCTACAATGATTTGTTTTTTTTCACCAATCGCCAAATGTTCCTTTTTGAAGTTTGCGCACTCTACTGGACTTCATAGTGAAGTGTTACTGAAATTTCTATGAATTCCTATTTTCACCAACATTCTCTAGCCCGGCCCTTCAGTATGCTGCCGCTAACCTCCTGGCCACCGCCCGCCACTTCGCCGCTGCTCGTCACTTTGCCGCCGATAGCTCTGTGCGCCACATCTCCGCACTACCCGCTCGTCGTCTGCTCCTGAATGCTGCCCGCCCCCGTCGCCCGTGCCTTGCCCACCTCATAAAACGTGCTCCTACTCGCTTCCTCACCTGCGCCTGCTCATCGCTGCGTGATCGTTACTGCAGCCGCCAAAGAAGCAGCAGCAGCCAGAGAAGTAGCAGGAGCAGACGATGAAGGAGAAGCAGCACCACCAGAGGCGCCAGCCAGAGCAGTGGTTGCAGCAGCAGCCAGCGGAGTAGTAGCAGCAGTAGCAGCAGCAGTAGAAAGCAGCATCCGCCGGAGGAGCAACAGCACCAGCACCAGCAGCCACAGCAGAAGCACCAAACAGAGGAGCAGCAGTAGTGGCCGCAGGCGACCCCATCCTCCCCTCCTCCTCGAGCCGTTGCGCGTCCACCGGCCGTCGCTCCCTCTCGGCCACTGCGGGTCCACCCGCCGTCGACTTCCTTCCACTCCGTACCACCAATGGCGGCATTTCCCCCTCCCATCGATGTCTCAACTCTCGATCATCTCGTGCACATTGCCGACAACTCGTCAGCCAGCTGGTGTTTCTACGTCAGCAACCTCCACCATGTCCTCGGCATTGCATACGTCTTGCCGTTCTGCCGCCTGGACATCATGCTTGGTCTCCTGAAGGTTGACGTTGGAGACCCGCCACCTCATCGTGGTGATCTCCCCCCTCTCATTCCCCATCCCAGCAAGGAACCTCTTGCCCCCGTGGTACCCATTGGCACCAGCACTCGTGCTGCAACCACTGAGGCTGAGCAGCTCTTCATCACTGATGCTTCATACTCGTTACCTGATCGCTTCGAAGGAACACAAGCGCTCGTCCACCCTCCGCACCTAGCATGCAGCGAACGACACCGATTATGCCGCCGACTCCGCTTGATTTGCTGAGCGTCATCGCGCTTGGCTCGAGACAAACTGTTGTGCTACTGATGTCCTTCTCTTTGTCATCACATATGCATTTATGCTCAACTTCCTGATGAGTCGCATTGGCTCTCGACAGATCGGCTCGAGCTTGAGGCAATGTTTGAGCGCACTGACTTCGACGCTGTCGGCCCGCTCTTCAGGGAATACACTTTAGCGTTACGATCGAGAATAGTGTTGGCATTGTTGATTTCGCCAGCCGCTTCTTGGACCTTGCCCCATGCCTAGAGGCTCGCCATGCTACTCACCCCTCCTCCCTTCATATCTACCAGCTCCTCGATGGCATCTCTCCTCAGTATAAATTGTGTGTCATCGCCTTCACGGAGGCTCAGCCCCGCGCCTCCCTTGACAATGTGGTCAAGTGGATCATTGATACCGAGGCCCATATCCTCTTAAAACTCCCCTTCTGCCCTCAACTCTACGCATTCCCAGACCCCCCAGCTTGCAGTCACATAGCTGCGCCAACCCTCAGGATGGGAGTGGAGGTGGCGGTAGTGGCAAAAATGGAGCAAATGGCTGTGGTGGCGGCAGTGGCGGGGCCGAGGGTGGCAGCAGTGGCGGTGATGGAGGTAGTGGTGGAGCATCTGGTAGCCGTTGGGGACGCCCTAGCACTCTCTCCCCATATTCATATCTTCACCGTTTTGGTCCCAGGGCGTATGAGCGCTGCACCCAAACCAACCAACCCCTTGCGACCTACTTCAAGGAATACAGTATGCTGATACCTGGTTCGAGGGTGGCAACTGGCTCACCTCCGCGTTGGTCTGCCATGGACTCTAGCCCCTCTCCTAAAATATAAAAACTCTTCCGCCCTCCATACCCTCTCATCTTTAGCTCTCCTCCTCCTCCTCCTCCTCCTCCTCCTCCTCCTCCTCCTCCTCCTCCTCCTCCTCCTCCTCCTCCTCCTCCTCCTCCTCCTCCTCCTCTTTTGTCGCTGACCCCATCAAGAAGCTGCACTTCACAAAGCCGTCTCCTCTTGCTTGCTTGATGGTCTTCCCCGCAATCTTCTTCCTCTCTGGTCCTCTCGTGCTCCTCCATGCACCACATGCATTCACGACAAGCTTAAACAGTAGCCTCACCTAAAAAATCCTTCATTAGCTGCTGCCACCCTTGACCTCATCCACATGGACCACTTTGGTCCTAACCCTTTCCCTTCCCCTTCCTCGTTGACCGATACATGCTAGCACTAGTGGATGATCACAGTAGGTACTCATCGGTGTTCCTTCTCCCCGCGTTGGTCGAGGCCCCTGTTGTCATCGTTGCATGAGGCCGAACAGTGCCGTGTCCACTTTGGTTGCCCTATACGCCACCTCCATTCATACAACGGTGGTGAGTTTCTCAACCGCACCCTCTCCTCCTGCTCCTCAACCCATGGCATCTAGCAGACACACTCCTTTCCCCTCTCCTCAGTCATGCCTCCACCCCCCTTTCCTTTACGGTTATGCCCACGTGCATGCTTGCTCTTCTCACTAATCTTTACCCACACCCTCAACGCTAGTCCGTCACTCCCACATAGCTCTAAGCCTCCACAAAACCTGACGGAGCCACTCTCCATGTTTGGGGTTGCAAGGCACATGTCCTCTGCCCCCCTTTCGATCGCTCCAACCAGGTAGGGAAGCTCGCCTCCAAGGCCATCGAGTGTGTCTACCTTGGCCACGCTCGCACTTCCCCTGGTTTACCTCTCCTCAGGCCGCATCCTCCAGAGCCGTAACGTGATGTTCGATGAGAGGCTCCCATTCTATCATTCCCTTCCGCCCTCCAACCCGCTTCCCCCTTCCGACCTTTGGCTGATGCTGTCATTCCCCCACTCCTTCCCCAGTCTCCCCTCCTTCCTCCGACTTCTGCTCCCCTCCCTTCTTCCATCCTCTGGCAACATCTACAACGCAGCTGTCTTCCAATCCCGTGCTCACTCTGCCTCCTCGCATCAGCAGCATCAGCATCAGTAGCAACCGCATCAGCAACAATAGCAGCAGCAGCAACAGCCGCAGCAACAGCAGTTGCAGCACTAGCAGCAGCAGGAGGTGCAGCAGCAGTAGTAGTAGGTGCAGCACCAGGAGTGGCCGGAGCAGCAGCCGCAGCACCAGTAGCAGCAGCAGCAACAGCACCCGCAGTAGCCAGAGGGGTAGCAGCCATAGCAGTAGCAGCAGCAGCAGCAACAGTAGACTGAGCAGTAGCCACAGCAGAAGCTTTGCTGGCATTACCTCACCGCCTCTCCCTTGATCCTCACCGCATCCATATGCACTCCCGTGGCCCACTCATTGGTCACCCATGGGGGTGGCCCGCGCCACCTCCACCCCTTATTCCCTTTATCGAGGACTCCCATGAGGAGCTCCTTAGCATGCAGCATTAAACGCCTTCTCTCATGCCTCTCTACCCGGGCTTTCTCAGCCTCCTCATTCTTGGCATCGCCACCGCTCCCACCATATTCACCCCATCCAATTTATTCGAGGCTATCTCCTGTCCGGACACGTCCAAGTAAATCCAGGCAATCTTTGCTGAATGCGAAGCCTTCATCTGCAATGCCTCATTTGTTGACGTCGTCCCCTCTCATGATGATGCCATTATTGAAGGGTTGTGGGCGTTCTGCGTGCACCAGGCTAGGCAAGCAACCGGTCTACAAGGCCTGGTACTGCGCCAAGTGTTTCACTCTGACGCATGGCATGAACTACAGGGATACATTCTCTCTTACTTCCAAGCTCCCCACTCTCTGTGGAATCCTTGACTAACCGTCCGCATTGGCATGGAGATTGCTATAACAATAGGCATGAATTTTGATACTTCTAGCCTTGATGCACCCAAAAACGTTGAAATGCTTGGAATCTGGTTCTGTGCATGGTTCGTTATAGCTTTAGCCCTGATACTTGGATAGATTGTGGCTATTTCTGTCAGCTATGTAACGCTATAAAGCACGCCTTAATCTAAGCATGGAGCAGGGAATGGCGACCAAAAACGTTGAGCTGGTATGAAAGCGTTTTGTCATTACTAGCAAGGAAGAGGTGAGTCCATATAGGCATGAGAGACCTCTTAAGGGGTTGGAATCATCTCAGGAGCTCTTAGAAGGTTGAGAACTGAGGGAGAAAGGCATGAGAACAGAAACGCCACTTGACAACCTGTACTTCTTATCCTGCTCCCCATCCCTGCACAGCTGGCTAGACAACAAAGAAAGATGAGAATGGAAGTGCAAGCTACAATGCATGCCAACTGTGAGGTTGGGATTTGTGAGTACACCCCAACCCACTAGAACATTCACAACCTAAACTAGGATATAAAAGTACAAATACAAAAGTGGTATTTGCAGTCTATTTCTAACACACCCCCATAGACTGCAAACCCGGTCAAGGAGCACATAGCCGCATGGAACGGAGAAGGCGATGGTGGTCAGCCTTGCCGAGAGCCTTGGTAAAGAGGTCGGCGAGGTTGCAATCTGAGGAGATGTACCGTACCGTCAGCTGGTCACTCTGAACAAGATCTCGGATGAAGAAATGACGAAGTTCGATGTGCTTGGTGCGAGAGTGGAACACAGGATCCTTGGTGAGATGAATGGCACTCTGGTTGTCACACTACAGGGTGGGCGACTGCTGGGGGTAGCCTAACTCAGCGAGGAGAAAGGAGAGCCAGCGTGCCTCTTGAGCAGCCATTGTGCCCGCGTAGAGCTCGGCCTCGCAGGACGACAGGGAGACTGCAGAGGACCGAGTGGAGCGCCAGCTGATGACTCCGCTACCAAGGGTGAAGCAGTACCCTTGGGAGGAGCGTCTGTCAGTCTGGTCATCGGCCCATGAGGAGTCTGTGTATCCCTCGAGCTTGACTGGAGAGGTACCACCAAGAGTGAGGATGTGAGACTTGGTGGCTTGTAGATAGCGGAGGACCCTCTTGGCTGCAGACCAATGCGAGGCAGTGAAGCGTCCGGGGGAGACGTACCGAGAGAGGACACTAACCGGGTAAGCCAAGTCTGGTCGAGTGCACATCATGGCATACATGAGTGAACCGACTAGCTCAGGGTACGGGTCCTTGCAGGCGTCAGGAGAAGGAACTGGAGGGGCCGTGAGCTGATGCTGTAGTGGGAGTGGAGTGGAGACAGAGTTACTGGAGTCCATGTCGAACCGCTTGAGAAGGTTGTCGATGTAGGACTCCTGGGAGAGGGTGATCGTGCAAGCCTGGCGGTCACGAGTGATCTCCATCCCCAGGTAGTTCTTGAGGTCACCAAGATCCTTCATGAGAAGGGCGGAGCTGAGAGCAGACTGGACAGCTGCCATGTCGGCTGGATCTCTGGCGGCTAGAATGAAGTCGTCGACGTAGACGAGGATGTAGAAGGGCTCGGAGGAGTGACGAACGAAGAGACTGGAATCTGAGGCAGAGGGATGGAAGTCAAGTGCGAGGAGGACTTCCTTCACCTTGTTGTGCCACTCACGAGGAGCCTGCTTGAGGCCATACACTGGGCGCTTCAGCTTCCACACTGTGTTGGCAGGGTAAGTGCCAGGAAACCCCGGTGGGCGTTCCATGTGAACATCCTCCTTGAGCTGGCCTTGGAGAAAGGCGGAGGAGGCGTCCATGGACTTGATCTCGAAGATGCCGCGAGCGGCTATATCAAGAAGAGCGCGCACAGTCGGGAGCTTGGCCGTGGGCGAGAATGTTTCGAAGTAGTCGAGATACTCCTTCTGGGTGAAACCCTTTGCCACGTATCGTGCCTTGAACAGTGGAGCTTCGCCTGGGAGTTGTTTGACTCGGAAGATCCATTTTCCGCCGACGATGTTGACACCGGAAGGGGGAACAACATCGTCAAAGCTGTTGTTGCGAATGAACGCCTCGTTCTCCACATCCATTGCTGCCTTCCACTCCTTCTTATAAGGCCCCGAGAGAGCTTCCTCTTTTGTGCGAGGAGTCGGAATGGTCGGGTTCTCGCTGAAGTTGAGGGAAGGGCAGTCAGTAATGTCTGGGAAGATGTGAGAGAGAAATTGGCAGACCGCGTGAAGGTCAAACAGCTCCTCATGCCTGTCCTCCAGAAGTGCACGGGGGGGAATACGGATGGAAGGGACATCACCCCCGGCAGGAGGAGGCGGGGTGACCGAACACCGGATGGAGAAGGCGGCTGGTCCCCAGGCGAGAGGCGGAGCCGGTCCCTTGGAACGAGTGCGACTAGAGACCGGAGACGAAGGCGGCTGCGGTGGGATCGGAGGGACTGGGCGCCTCCGATAGGAGACTGGTGAGCCGGGCTCCACGCGCGGGGAAGGCGGAGCAGGAGGAGGTGCCGCTGCGGAGGATACTGGGGAGGCCGGGTGAGACACGCCGGACGGAGAAGGCCCCGGAAAAGGGGCAGCGGCCGGAGGTGGGGCATCGAAGTCTGCCCAAACAAGCGTCCCGGGAGGTGGAGGAGGCTCGCCCGTGGTCGCAGAGTGGAATGGGCGTGTCTCATCGAAGACGACATCACGGCTGCGAATCAGCTGTCTGGTGATTGGGTTGAGGAATAAGTAGTCTGGGGAGTCGGAGTTGTGCCCCAGGTACATGCAGGTCTGGGTTTTGGGACCAAGCTTGCCACCTTGCTTCCTGCGCGTGTGGGGGCTTAGCAACACATACGCGGTACACCCCCAGACGCGTAGAGAGCGGGCGGAAGGCGTGACCCCAAGCCAGAGAGCGGTAGGTGTGGTGTCGGGCCGGTGGGGATGCGGATAAAGATTATAGAGGAGTGCCGCATGGAAGAGGGCATATCCCCAGAGTGACCGTGGTGAGTTGGCGTGACTGAGGAGGCAGCGAGCGATCTGAACGCTCTCTGCAATGCCATTCTGCTGCGGGCTTTCGGGGAGCGTGAAGGTTTGCCGAATCCCTTGGGCCGCACAGAAGTTATCGAGTTTGCCATTGCGAAATTCTCCCCCGCCATCAGAATGGAGGCACTTCAGAGGAGTGCCGAACGTGACTTGAGCCTGGCACACCCACGCCATGATGACATCAGGTGCCTCCGCCTTGGTATGCAGGAGGTGCAGAGAAACATACCGCGAGTGGTCATCGACTAGTGTAAGAAAGTATCGATGACCGCCTCGGGATGCGACTGGAGCTG